TAATCACTCAACTTGGGTCAGTAATCACTCAGTTGAGGTCAGTAATCACTCAACAATACTTTGCATGAAATTTATTATATAAAATTTCATGCAGGCATCTTGGGTCACAAAATGTGCAGGCAAGGGTCACTAATATCTCAGGTCAGTAATCACTCAGAACTGGTCAGTAATCACTCAGCACAGGTCAGTAATCACTCTTGACCGGTCACGTTAAATTGAGCTGGTCCAATTTAACGTCAAGGTCAGTATTATCTGTGATCTCAGTGAGGCTTAAGGTGAACTGATAAGTAACCACTGGCCAGTACAGAGTGATTACTGGAGGCTTCTGAGTGATTACTGACACCCCTGGAGTGATTACTGACTGCCATGAGTGATTACTGATCTGTACAGAGTGATCTTGGGGTGATTACTGGAGGGCCACTGAGTGATTACTGGAGGGCCACTGAGTGATTACTGACATCTCAGGAGTGATTACCAACTACCATGGAGTGACTGCTGACTTCCCACTGGTCTCAAATGTGCTGGCCATGATAGAGTGGTTACTCAGTGATCATTAAAAATCTGGGGGTCACTGCTGAGTGGTTTCTAGACATTGGAGTCACTGGTGAGTGGTTACTGACCTGGCTTAAATAATTACTGACCATGATAGAGTGGTTACTGACCTGATGTATGTGAATGCTAACTAGCATTCAGTGATTGAGTGTGCCTATGTATATTAAAATAGAGTTTGATCTGTTATGTCATGATACTAGTGTGGGAATGCATTACATCATCAGGGTATTCATACATATAGAGGGTCCATTTCTCTTTGATTTTCCTTTCTTTTCCCCCACTTTGCACTTCCTGTCATAACAAGTAGTAATCAGATACCTGAAATATTTACAAGTCCAAAATAATGGTGCATGAAATTTCAAATAAAAAGTTTCATGCAATGCTGATCATCCATTTTATTTTCAAGTCTTCCAACACTGACCAGGTGCGTATAAAATTTCAAATATAAAATTTTATACAGTGCTCATTTTATTTTAGACCCTCTTCCGCCATCCCTACCTTGAGCAAATTGGCTTTGTGATCAACAATGAGCTCAAGGTTCTCATTTGTGAGAGTTGCGGATATGCTTGCACATCCAAGGCAGTCAAGGATCACATTAACAAGAAGCACCAAAATGGTAAAGACAAGAGGCCAGTTGACCAAGCACAGTTGCAAAGTATTTGTGATGACCGTCTCATCACCGCTGCTCTTCCAACTCTCAACTCCTCCCAAGATCACATACAGTATCTTGGACTCTGCCTTCACCAAGGTTTCGCTTGTTCACATTGTGATTACATTTGTGGATCAGTGTCTTCACTAGAGAACCACTACAGACAACTGAGCGACCACCCTAGCCAGGCTCCAAACAGTCCACCCAAGATTGACTATCAACATCTCACTGCCCGTGGTAAGGGCTCCTCATTCTTCAAGGTCACCACTAGAGAGGTGCCAGTTGCGGTGGATGCTGCTGAGGAGATGATTGCAAACTCTCGCAAGATGGCGAATAGTGCTGGTGGTGACACTGCATCCAAACTCAATGCCCGCCAGATCAACCCTTGGATGCTTAGTACCAAGTGGTACCTTCACGTTGAAGGGTCTGATGCACTAGCACTCAAAGCATTTGTTGCCCCACATCGGGAGATCAGCAATATGGTGAAGTCATACTTTGCCAATGCGACCAAGCTTCTGGGTAGCACTGCAGATTTAGTCTTGCAGAAAATCAACAGCCCTGACCACATTAAAGAGTACGTTAAATTGGTCCAGTTCAATTTAACGTGGGCTAAACAATATTAATTACAGTGGTATCACCAATGTTCCATTCCACAAACATGAGCAGCCAGAGACCCTCCCTATATATTGTGGAGTGGTCACTTCACTACTCAACCTGCTTCTGGAAGACAGGGAGCATTATGAAAAGACCCTTCCCGAAGACACAATCATTGCACTCAATGTATTTGAGAGTGCACTGGAGGGGTCCATGATCACCACCCACGACACATCTGATGAGCTGCACAAGCTCCTACTCCAGTTGTGGCACAGGGAGTGGGCTACTCCATCTCAAGAGTCAGATATTCCTGATCCTACCGTCCGCACTCTGGCCTTGCGGTCTTTACTGGCCGATGGTTCATTCAAGGAGCCAAGTGCGGTCGCTCCTGATATTGCCAAGTTTGAGCATCTCATGCGGCTCACATCTGTGCGCGAGATCCACAACCTGGCTGCACTCAAATACGATGGCAACCAGCTCAAAGCTGCCAACGATGTGCTTCCTTGGCTCCAGGAGAAGTTGCCCACCACCTTCAACTCCTTACGCTCTCTGCAGCATCGGGCGACTGCCATTGTGTACAGCACCCCATCCCTACCAAATGCTTGGTGGATTGACAGGGAGAACTGGACCCACCTACTGTACAAAGGCTACCCAGTAAAGATGGACCACATCTCACAAGTCTTTGACAAGCTGGAGCAGCAGAGCATCACCCACTTTGAGGAGAAGGTCCTTCTCAAGCAAAAGATCAGAATCGACTACGACCATATACATGACAACCTAAACAAGACAGATGTCGGGTACTCCTTCCTCACAGAACCGGAGAACAAGAAGTTGTTCGGAAATAGAGATCGGTTGATCAATGCTGTGTTAGCAGATCCAGAGTTAAAGGCCAAATTCTTCAACAGCCATGCTGATGGCTCAGTGACTTACAACAAGAATGCATGGAGAGAATGGCTGCACGACTATGGGGTACATTCCGCCAACATGATCATGTCATGTGAGATGAAGGCTGGAGCACCCAGCAGGCTAACTGAGCTCTGGAACATGTGCTTTGGCAACACAACAATGAGGACCCGCAATTTGCTCATTCAGGGACTGTTTACGGTCATCAACCGCAAGTACACCAAGACTGGCAACATCTCAGGGCATGACAAGCTCATCCCTCATGCACTTGACGCTCTGACCGGTGACATGATCATCCAGGATCTGGCCATTGCACGCTCCTTTGCTGAGCTGGCCGTTCAAATCTGCTACCCCGGTGATACAGCATTAATGGACCTGTACCGCTACAACCTCTTTGTCAACAATACAAAAGCCTTTGACACAGCAACTGTCACTGAGCACATGTATCGTCTGACTCGCAACATCTGCTCTTTCCAGATTGGAGTTCGTGATTGGAGGCAGATCCATGCTGCCTTTGCTAGGAAGCTTTGTGGTCAAGCAGAGCACCTTTTAGATGTGGGAGATGAGGACACTGCTCAGGTTCTGCAGTACGGGCATGGGCGGTCAGTGCATGACAATATTTATGGCACAAGTGGGAATGTCCAAGGCACAAGTGCTCTGCCAGAGGACATCCTTCCCCTTTTCCTGGAGGCCAGCACCGAGTGGCAGATCACAACATTGACAGTGCCAGGTAAGCCCATGTCAATCTACAGTCACTCAGCATTTATTTACTTAACCACTCAGGTGGTATGCGCCTTCCATATCGGCAAGCACAAAGACAATTCTTTGAGGCTCTTGTTCCAGCAAACAAGAAAAAGACACCTGCTACTCAGCCAATTGGTGCTCAGACAACTGGACCAGCCCTACCGATTAATACCGATGATCTCGCTGCCAAGGTTGTTGCTCTGCTCTTGCCTACATTAAAGAGCACAATTGAGGAGTCGGTAAAGCAAGCCATGGCCAACCTCACTCCAGCACCTCAGCCTTATGAGAGGGCACGTCGCCCAACATTAACCATTGATCCCACCCTGCATTCACGTCAAATTGGTCTGGCTGGATTTAACGTCAAATCGCCTCAGCCCCAGCCAACATTATTCAACCCAGAACCACGTTATATCAGGCCAGTCCAAAATAACGTGGAGGCAGGACCCTCTAATTGGCAAGGACGCTTGCAAACTATAGATATACTATCCAGGAACCTGATCAGGTTCCGTGACACGTCACCCAGAGACGTGATTATGTGACATAACGTGACACCTTCAGCCATCGCGATGGATCCCTGGAATAAAATATGTCGCAGGGTCAGTAACAGATGCAATGCGATGGATCCCTGGAGTAAAATATATCGCAGGGTCAGTAACATTGATGTTGCGATGCATTCCTGGAATAAAATATGTCGCAGAGTCGATAACATTACTGATGCACAGATGTGATGCATTGCAAGAATACAATATGTGCAAGTGATGTGGTGCATTCTGGAGGCGAAATATGTTGCGACACATGCTTGGGGGGAAATATGTCGCAGGGTCAGCAATGGGTGTCTCGGGGGGTCAAAGGGGTGGAATGATGGGGTTCGGTAGGGATATATCAAGTTATCAATGCTGCTGGGTCATATGAATACCCATACTCATTCCTGGAGGAAGATATGTAACCTATGCTCCAAATAAAATATGTCGCAATGGTTTATGACATAATGAACAAGATATAATGCACGCAAATTCCATGTATACTAACGGCCCAATGGCTCAGTGGTCTACATCACCGGGTTGGAAAGGTTCTGGGTTCAATCCCTAGTGAGGGCTACTTTGGTTGTTTGCCCTGGTTACCCGGTAGAAGCCTTGTGGGCTTGTGCCAGGTGACGAGGGCAAACATTTTTTTGCTTTTAGGCTTTTAGTGACCACAGCATACTCCTGGACATAAATGCAAGAGAGAATGAAGGCTTTGGACCACTTATTTGATGATGCTGCAATCGGAACCATCCTGGATAGCCGGGTGCTCTCTCTCCCTCTGTTGTGTGAATGTTGCGTGAGAAACGGGTCCAGATGTTGAGAGACCTGGCACGTCTGGTCCAATGTCACTCTACCCACATCACAGTGCTTCATACCCAACTCACTACCTACACACATCCCACCGCTCTGTTGAATAATAAAAAGATGGCACCACTGGGAATCAAACCCAGGCCTCCTTGGGTTAAAAAGAAGAAAAACAAACCTTCAAACTGATGGTGCATCTTAAAGATGAACTATAGGTTCGAAGGGTTTTATGGCACCACTGGGAATCGAACCCAGGACCTCCTGTGAATCAATCACAAGATGCTCTACCAACTGAGCCATAGCGCCCTTGCAAGAATAAAATATGTGCAAGTGATGTGATGCATTCTGGAGGCGAAATATGTTGCGACACATGCTTGGAGGGAAATATGTCGCAGGGTTAGCAATGGGTGTCTCGGGAGTCAAAGGGGTGGAATGATGGGGTTGGGTAGGGATATGTCAAGTTATTAATGCTGCTGGGTTATATGCAAACTGGAGGAAGATATGTTGTAACCTACACTCCAAATAAAATATATCGCAATTTAGGTTAGTGGGCATATGTTGAGTGACAAGGGCCAACACATTTTTTCTTTCAGTAACCACAGCATATTCCTGGAGATAAATGCGAGAGAGAGAGAGAATGAAGGTTTGGACCGCTTATTTGATCCTGGATAGGCGGGTGCTCACTCTCCCTCTGAGCGTGTCTGGTCCAATGTCACTCCACCCGCATCACGGTGCTTCCAACCCAACCCACAACCTACATGCATCCCACCGCTCTGTTAAATAAATAAAAAGATGGCACCACTGGGAATCAAACCCAGGACAAGAAGAAAAATAAACCGTCAAACCTATAGTCCATCCTGCAAGATGCACTACAGATTCGAAGGGTTTGGATGGCACCACGGGGAATTGAACCCAAGATCTCCTGTGAATCAATCACATGATCCTCCAACTGAGCCATAGCACCCTATAGATATACTATCCCGGAATGATCGATCATTCCGTGACACGTCACCCGGAGCAGTGATTCCGTGACACCTTCAGCCATCGCGATGGATCCCTGGAATAAAATATGTTGCAGGGTCGGTAGCAGATGCGATGCGATGGATCCCTGGAGTTAAATATATCGCAGGGTCAGCAAACATTGCTGTTGCGATGCATTCCTGGAATAAAATATGTCGCAGGGTCGATAACATTTACTGATGCACAGATGTTGCGATGCATTGCAAGAATAAAATATGTCGCAAAGTCGTGTTGACATGTAAAAGTGAAACATGTGTTCCCCCATCAGATCTGAAGAATAAAATATGACGAAGAGTCATGAACACGCGGCTCAAGTCAACCATGCTCTACACAACTATCACGTCAGGACAAAAATTCAGCAGTGACCCATCGAAATTGACTCAGGCGTAACAGAATCAGGCCTACTATCAACTCGCAGATGGTCTGACCAAGTCAATACCCATCAGTGACCGTAGTAAATAAGAGCTACCAACTGCATGTAATGTAACTACATGCCACATCTCCAACTTGCGATGAATATCAACAGAAAAAAGCGAGCGCCCAGCATCTAGCACACAGAACCCAATGCAAATGAAAGTACTACGTAATGCAGTGAACATGCAGCCAAGCACACAACCCAAGTCACCGGGCTAACATCAAAAACGTCCGTCACTCAACGAAAATTGTATGAACTCAGAGTCAGCGAAACACCAAGTCAGTACACATGTACACTCCACAGAACATCACCAGTGACCGAGTAAGTAGCGACTCAGACTAAGAACATATACTAAGACCCACAACCATCAACGCAACTGCCAATCCAGACCAAGTAAATAGCAGCCATGGTCAGCTACAGAATGTAGTCAAACTACAATACTGTACAACCCACCAGTGCACACGTCAAAAACGTCGGTCAAACAGTCAGCGCACACACTACAAGTCAAGTCAGCACAAAGAACAATACAAGCCAAACAATCAGACTGAGGCCAAGTCAGCAACAAATATCGGTGACCCAGTCAATAACCGGACCAACTGAATGTCAAAGCAGAGTCAGCAACTCAAACCGATACACAGTGCAACACGTGAACCACGGTAGTGTACAACTGAACGATAAGTGGGAACAACCCAGGCCATGCCACAGGACAAAAACGTCGGCGCATAAATTGTCAGGCCAGCGCAGGGCAAGACAGGGCAACGCAAGGGACAGCACAACCCAAAAACGGCAGGGCACAAGGCAAGGCCACGGAACATACAGGGTAAGGATACCCAGTAACGAAATCAGCGAGTGTAGCCAACCCAACGTACGAGGGCAAAACAGTCACCACAATCGGCAGGGACGAACGCGTACACAGCACAAGTCACGCAGAATTAAGCGCAACAGCCGTAATCCCAAGTAAGGCAGTCAGCGTAGTAGTGAACCAAACTACAGTGCGGAACCAGCCACCGAAATATTTTCAAATGTACACGGCACAAGACAGTAGGGTGAACTCGCCACATCCCAATCCCTACGCTGAGTCACTCAGTACTATTCAACAAAAGTACCCTAGTCCAAGTCGACCAAGTACCAGACCAGCGTAGACCAAGTACACGGTTACCCGAGCCAGCCCATAAATGAGTGAGTATAGTCAACCCAAGTCAAGTGCAGAACCAGTCAACACAATGTTGACTCAAGTACCCAGTGCAAGCCAGTACGGTAAACCACAACAACTCATGCACGCAACTCAGTCACGACACTGAACATCCAGTGTAGCACAACTCAGGGCAAGTACCATTCCAGCCTAGGACAGGTCCAAGTAACCCATCCAAAGCGCTGACCACGTCAGACCCACATAAATCAGCTGAGTGCAGTACACAATCACGGCAAGCATCCAGCCTCTCAGTCTCAGGCCCAGTCCACGGTAACCGGTGGTCTACAGTCAGTGCAAGTCAGCCAGGTTATGAGCAGAACTTTCTGTTTCACAGGGCAGGCGTAGGTCGGAAAATAAGCGCCAGGAGCACGCAGGGCAGGGCAGGCCGGGCAGGGCGCGCTAGGCAGGGCAGGTCTGGGCAGGGCAGCAGGGCAGGGCAGGGGAGAGCAGGGAAGGGCAGGGCAGGCAGGGCGGAGCACGCAGAGCACGGAAGGGCAGAGCAGCGAAGGGCAGGGCAGGCAGGGCGGAGCACGCAGAGCACGGAAGGGCAGAGCAGCAGGGCAGGAAATGGATAGATTGTAACAAAATACACACGCGTTATCGATTCAAGAAACGAACAATACGTACGGCTTACAGATATGTAGATCCGCTACAATACCAGGTGAATTCGGCTAGATAATCTCTGAAAAACTAGGAGGGCCCCTATTGCGGTACAGTTCCTGCTCATTGCACCACTACTTGTTGAAAGAGAGCATTAGAGCTTGTAACATCACTTGACTGCTACCAGTCACATGCAGTACCTGTAATTATTGCGCGGAGCACTGGCGGCTGGCAGGGAAGGGATGCGGCCGGGACGCATGCCGCGCGTCCGCGCTCACGATGTGCGTCTGGTGTGGCGTTACGGACGTGCGGCCAGGACGCACGCGCACGGATGCTCGATAGTAAGGTGTTTTTGGAACGAGGTCCGGGTTAGAATGGGGTAAGGACTAGGGCGAGCAGGTGAAAGTACCGCAGGTTGCAGATTTGCAAGTTGCGGACACGTAAACACCCCTGACAGTCCGACACAGCGCAGGTTGCAGATTTGCAACCTGCGGACACTCACCAGACATATTACCAGCCATGCTAAGTGCATGTTGCGAATGCGCAAGGTGCAGAAGTATTTATGGGCCAGAAGGTGTAAATCAATGTGAGATTGCCACCAGGCGCTCGAATAGTTGCAATAATAACACGCAATGCGCGGTTAATAATTATATATTACTGTTGAACAAGAAGGAACAGCAGCGAATAGTTGCAATAATAACACGCAAAGCGCAATTATATATTATATATTACTGTTAAACAAGAAAGAACAGCACAAGATAAGAGCGACAATTAATAACTAGCAAGGCAGGTGGTTTACGGGCGAAGCTGCGAAGGAATTGTAGGGCAAAAGCCAATTATCCCTAGGTTCAGACTGGGTTCGGGTTGCTCAAATAGGCAATTTGTGGCGTGAAATAAGCGTACTACAGACTCACGCACCGGGAATCCATTATTAATTATTAAAGTGCATGAGAAGATGATATTGCGGATACAAACAACAGGCTGGGTAGCTAATGATCGCCGATGTGAAGTCAATTGATACAACCATTAGTATTGAGTAAATTTTCACCAAGTGAGAATCGCCGCGGGTGTGCAGGGTTCGCATCGACTTTGATAGGTACACACACTGCCGCACATGTAGAACGTTCACATCTGCTAAGACTTCGAAATGAAGATTTCAGGAAGTTTGCCGCCGATGTAGAACATTGACATCCGCTAAGATTTGAGATAAAATCTCAAGGAATATTGCCGCTAATGTAAAACGTTCACATCCGCTAAAGACTTCGAAACGAAAGTTCAAGGCAAATTGCCGCGGATGTGGAACGTTGACATCCGCTAAGATTTAACATGAAAGTTCAAGGAACATTGCCGCTAATGTACAACGTTCACATCTGCTAAAGACGTCGAGCCTAAAGTGAAAGGCACATTGCCGCGGATGTAGAACATTGATATCCGCTAAGATTTGGCATGAAAATTCAAGGAACATTGCCGCTAATTAATGTAAAATGTTCACATTTGCTACAGACTTCGAAATAAATATTCAAGGCAAATTTTCGCGGATGTAGCACCTTCACATTAGCTAAAATTTCGAAACAGCTTTGCATATAGATGATCAAATCACTACTGTACATGAGGAAGCGCATGGCAAGATATATTTCTGACACCTTCTGACATTGTTCATTCATCTAAAAACGCGAAATATGATTCTCACAAATCATCGTCATCACTATTATAACCATGTAGCTTACCGGCGCGGCGAGCCTTCTTCCTGCTCTCAGGGCCGTCTGTAACGAATAACCGGAAAAGTGAGCAGGGATTATGATGAGTAGATATCTACTT